AATTTACAAGATATTTAAAAGATAAATAATAAAATAACAAAATAAAAATTTTTTTTTTAAGAGTATATTCACTTGAAAACAACAAAAAAAAATGGAACTCCGTTATTAGTAAAAAATTCATTAATCTATTACCTGCCAACATATCCATTTGGGCCCCAAGTGGTTTTTAATCTAAGCATATGGGCATGGGTTAAAGTACACAGCTCTAGATGCTTTCTATTTGGACCGGCCCATATAATTAATTTGACAGAATATTTTGTTTGTATAGATCACGGAATATTCGGTCAATTGCGTTTATTGCTTGTTTTCTTAATTTTTTTCATTTAGTATACGTTATACTAGGGTAGGGTACATGATATAAATTTTTCGGAACGAGTGAATCCTGAGGCCATTTGATGCGCTTAATGCAATAATCGAGTAATATTTGGCCTATTCGTACTCCTTATGTCGGATTGCGGCCATTTTTTAGAATTGGCCACCAAAATTGCCATTTTTCAAAGCGGATTCTTTTTTTTCTAAAATAGGCCTAACAATATGTCATTTATACTATTTTTTGTACTGGGGAATTCAAAAAACATACTTAGATTACCATATCCGTCTGGGCATTCAACTAATCTAAAAATACATGTTATTTTGCTTGTTTTTTCGCGCTATTGCACCGCTTTCTCCTAAATGTATTTTCTCACCGAGTGAGCCGTGCAACAAGTATAATAAGCGCATACGGTACACATGACAGCCGTCACGCCCAAACTAGTATAAAATAATTGCTACTGCTCCAAAAGCCATTATATTAAAAAACATACGCTAAAATGGATTCAACAAATACAGTAAATAAATAAAGCGATTGTGTTATGAAAAGCCTCTTCCATGAAGTTTAGCAAACAGGAAAAACTCATTGCTAGGCCTAAACTCTGGAGTTTAGGCCTAGCGATGAATTTTTCCTGTTTGCTAGAAAATTGACTCAAAAAACCTAGACAGAAGAACCTGTTTTAAGACGCTGCCTGTAAAACTGTAGCAACTAAATACATCGACGATTGGATTGGGAAAAATGTTTATTCTATACGTGTAAATAATGTTGCAAGAAAATTTCTCACTTACTACCAGAGATTAAAAGAAATAAAAGTCATTACAACTTGAACGAATGGTACTTGGATTTAAATAAAAAAGAGTTCAACGACAGTATAACCAAACACGCATACAACATACGTACTTAAGACAAGTTATACCAAAAGATACTTGAGCAACATTTTGCCCTGAAGGCGACAGAAGAAGATGAACTATTCTATAAAAAAACAGTTTACGTTATTTTGATAGAATAGTTCATCTTGCTCTGTCTTAAATTTTTACACGGTTCTGCATTTCTGAATACTTTGTCTGTGTTCAATCTGTGTTTATAAGTTGTTGCGTCTTTCGGCAGGCAAAAAAGTGTTTAGTTTTCTCAGCATCAGCAATCACACTCATGGGCAAATTGCTATTTCTAAGCTTTTGTTGCAAAGCCATGCGGCTAGTTCTGTCTGTTTCTACAACAAGTACAAACAATGGCTGAATGCTAACAACGAGCTCGGCGGGTTATGTGGATTTATTTAAAACCGTTTCAGAAGAATCGTGAATACTTTCAAACAGGTTTTAAAACAAAGAAGTTTATAAGGCAGTTTTTCAGCGATGTTGTTGACATAAAGTCTAATAAGTTAGTGTTAGCAGTATCTACGTACATTCAAAATAATTGGCTTTAGTTGTGTGCCAAAATGTATGCTAAACTCGGTGATATCTTAATATTTCCAAAAATGGATCTTTTCGGGATGGATAACCCTAAAATTTCGACGGATGATGAACGAACTTGGGATGGTGATCAAATATTTTTTGGAACCAAAGTTCCTGAATTCAGAAACCTAAAAGCCGAAAAAAGTCAATCAACCTATGGTAAAGACCTTCTCACTTGTGCTATTCTGGAAGAAGTATTAGAAACGCTCAATATACAGTTTTTTATAATGGGCTTCTATAAAAATCCGGACATCGCTAGCGAAAAGTTGAAACTGACACCTCTCACGAACCTAGGGTGTGAGTCAGAATTGTCAAATTTTGACAACCTAGTCAAAATATGTGGTGGTTCTAGAACCGTGACTACTTTATTCAGAAAAAATTTAGTGATGACAAATAGTCTACTCAGAGATTTCTCCTTTACCAAGCTTGCATGTGGGGAAAAGAGATAGAAATGGAAACGGAAATAGTTACGAAGCCTTTATATGCAAGCGTGTTTGCAAACAATAAAAGCAAGAAAGAATTTTTGGTTTTGGATTTGTGGTTGTCAAATAAAAACTTGTTTTCATGACGACTGACTTCTTTTAGAATCTTTTGGTTATATTTTTAGAGATTCTGTGGGTTTATTTAAGAAATTGAGTAAATCAAAGGAACCTATATTTTTTATGATAAACCCCTGTTTGTGTATAATAACATACTTAAAATTGAAAAATAAGACAAATGCGTCAAAAAAACAGGTTTCCACTGATTTCTTTTGGAATCTTTTGTTATATTTTTAGAGATTCTGTGGATTTATCAAAGAATATGGTAAAATTAACCTGACTCAATCAAAGGAATCTATGTTTTTTACGTCAAAATCCTTTTTTCTGCATAATAACTTACTTAAAATTGAAAAATAAGACAAATGCGTCAAAAGAACAGGGTTGAGGGTACAACTCTAAAACTCAGTTTTATGGTTCTGTGGCCAGCTGGTAGTCAGGTTTCCCCAACTCTGTGGTAGCTCTCAGAGAGGCTGATTCCATCAACAACTGAAAAATATCAGAATACTAACAGTGCCATGTTGCGCATGGATGGTGTCCCATTTTGTCATGCGCCAATTCAAATTAGGTCAGGAAAAGGGATTCTTCTGTTGCGAATCACGAGGCTTTTCTTTGTGATCTACATAACTTAGAGAATCACTGAGCAAAGTTTCAGGATAAAAAATTTTTTCAGCTTATAAAAAATTTTTCAGCTTATAAAAACTTATGAATACTGACTTAATTGTCAATGTCAATAATATAAATTTCCCGCGTAATCCTTAACGAAATTGTGAGATAACAAACATTACTACAAAAATAAAATCTCAAAGAATATTTTCCTACTTTGCTGAGTGAAACCTTACCAAATATTTATAGAAAAAACATGTTCAACCCAAAATTGTATGTGGTTATACAAAAATTTTAATTATTAAACTACAGGTATTGCATTTCACTTTGTGAAACAGACTAATCTATGGAAAAAGACGCAATAAAAATGAATGACACAATCTATGGAATAGGTGACATATATTTTAATAATTACAATTTTTGTTAATCTTAACTCTTGATCAGTAGAACATTTTTTCAAGTTTATTCACCCGTGAAGAGTTTTGATCAAAAAGCACTAAAATAAATATTCATTTTTAATTTTATTTAACAAACTACTCATGGTTCTTAAAAAAACTGTTTTGGGAATATAGCGACCTAGTAAAAATAGTATATTCAAAGTAAAAATGGTATATTCATAAAACAAGTTTATTCTTAGGGCTATATAATAATAAAAGTCAGAAAATATGCATAAAAGTTGAATAATGTAATACAATTTAATCAATTGTGAGTTTATTGTAAAAATAAAATTCAAAAATTGCTTTTACACTTTATTTCGCAATTTTAATCACCTATCCAGCACAAATATAATTTTTTTATTAAAATTGCTACACTATTTTCTATTCACTATTTTCTATTCCAATGTTTCTTAAAGATTGATTGCGCTTTTTTGTATTTCTTCAAGCTAAAAATAAATTTTCTTCAAGTTAAATATTTCATAATTACCTTCTTTAAAAAAATGATCTCTGAACTGAACATCTAAACAAGTTTCAGAAATTAACTCACAAATTTCAGAAGGCATGTAATTGATGTAAGGATGTTAATAACTTGGTCAGTTAGTTGTTTTTAAACCATGAACTGCAGTTCGTGTAATTTAATATTGCTCGGTATTTTTATTATTGATATTTTTAATGAACTCTTAAGAATATTTTACTTTTTACAAAAACATGTTTATGAAAAAGTTATATTACATTGTCTTAAAACATTATGTTTTGTTTATAAAGTTTATAGTTTTATTTTGTTTACTTTGCATTTTTCTCAAATTTTTTCAAAAAGTTTTCTACTTTTTATTCTCATTATTATTTTAAGCTACATTTCATTTATGTTAATGTGTGTAAATTTTTTTTAATGTTAATTTGTTTTACTTGGTAATAAGATTAGTACATCACATAATATAACATATTATAATAGGACTATCACATAATATAATAGAACTATCACATAAATAAATTGAATTATTAGAATATTAGGTGTAGTTAAACTACACCTACAGGGCCGGCGCGAGTAGGTGTCACGTGGGGGGGGGGGGTGCCATTACAACTTTTGCCGATTAAAAAAAAAAAAAAAAAAAAAGTTCTCGTTTTTCAAAATTTGCCGACTGTCATGACGACATTTGCCGACTGTCTAACCTATATCGAAAGGGTCCACCTTTGCCGACTAACTAGGTCCAATTTGCCGACTAAGGGTCCAATTTGCCGACTAAGGGTCCAGTTTGCCGACTAAAAATCATTGATGGGGGGCGGGTGTCATACACCCCACACCCCCCTTTCGCGCCGGCCTTGTACACCTAAAATTCTAATGATTCCACATTTGCATGGGCACATGCTACATTACTGCTTTTATTAAAATCAGTTTTTAGTTAAACAGAAATGTGAAGTAGTATTTAAAGGCAAATTTTTTTTGTAAAAAGATGCTTACGTTGCAGTTCTTGATAAAGTAATCTTTCTTAACATTCATGTTGCCAAAATTCAACAATTATTTTCGTGTTAGCTACTTTACTTAACGTTTAATGCAGAAAATAGTCATCACTAATATTTTAATATTTTTGATGTATTTTTCTAATATCTGTTTTTAGTGTGCAATGTTAACAAAAATAAAAGCAAGAAAAAGAAAGTTTACCTTTTTTATTCAACATCGCTTTTTCCAAAAAAAGTTTTTTTTTTAAAGTCTGTGTAAATAAAACGGTGATGAAATAAATGATACCTAATGATAAATGATATTCTATACTATCTTTATATACTAGCTTATTAGATTAAAAATCTAATATGCACAAAACTTAATGCGTCAATTAACATTTTTCAAATGTTAATCGACCCATTAAGTCAGGAAAGTAGCTACTTTTATATGTCGCTTAAATAAGTCAATATAATTAGTGAATATTTTCCCATTTTTTTGATTGAATTGCTGGCTTAACTTTAAAACTTTACAAGACTAAGTACTATGTAAATCAAAAGATAGCATTTAATTAGTAAAAAATATAAAAAGAACTATATATTTTTACAACCTTTAACATAAAAATATTCATTTGTATTTTTTTAATTTTAATTTATAAATACCAAACATAAAAAAGTTATTAAACATTTTTGGTTCATAGTGTTTTCTTCACATTTATATTTATAATATGAAAACATATTTTTGAAAATTAATTCAAAATGGTTTAAGATAAATAACTTATTTTATAACAATATGAAACATTTTAATAAGATTTTATATTGTTTAAATAAATACTATATACTTATACGAATAAAAAGTAACTAAGGTTGTTTCTAGTTAGAAAAAGAAGCAGCTTTGGCTACTTTTTTAGAAACAACAATATCTAAAAAGAAACAGTGGGTATTCAGTTTTAAAAACCGTTTCGATTGAATAATCGTTGAAGTATAGTTACAATTTTTGTTTTGTTGAAAATTAGTTTCTGCTCGACTGGCTTTCTAAGTCTAGTTGTTATTAATTTTTATCTTAGTTTTTATATTATTACAAATATCTACAAATTTTACAAAAATATTTTCACCCATTCCACTGTAAAATACTATTTTTAAACACCTGGAAGCTTTTTAAGCACATGGTTTTATTGTTAAGGGAATTCCTGAGAAAGGTGGTTCTGTATAATACATTATTTGATCTTTTTATAATCAGAGTCTTTCGACCGAGCATCAATTAATTGCAACAAGTTGAAATCGTATTTTTTTCTTTATAAATAAGCGCTTCATAAATTCAGTGTTAGAAGAAAAAGAGATTTTAGAGCATCAATCATTAGAAATCGTAAGTTTTGAAGATGGATTTTTAGGTTATTTTTTAGTTTTAACATTTCTTTCAAAGACAAATCAAACATTTTATGGATTATGAGGAGTGCTTTTAAATGAATTTTGTTAATTAGACAAGTCATTGCGTTTTGTGAAAAACATCCAAATCAAAGGACATTATAAAAAATTAGACAATATATACGCGTTACATAATAGAGTATCTTGTTTATAAGATAGAAAACTTCCTATTCAATAAAGGACAACACACTTACCATTTGCTTTTCCGCATAGAACTTTAATGTGATCACCAAACTTTAAATCCTTATAAATTGTCCATTAAATCTATATCAATTCACCAAACAAGCTGTCAAGAATGTCAAATCGTGAGGCTTTGCTTAAAAGCCTTGATACATTTTTTTTATTTCATTTAGGTGACCCAAGACGCACTTACGGTCTTATCACAGAGCACCACGAATGAGCATTTAGTAGGAAATTAACGCTTCTTTCCTAAGCAATGTTGCAAAAATTGCCCAGAGGTAAGGTTTGAACCACGGATCCTTTGTTTCTGAGGTAAGTGCACTACCGTTGCGCCACCGCTGCTCAATTTGAATTATGCTGTTCAACAAGTTAGAAAAGATATAAACAAACCAGTGATAAATATGCTCAGTTTTAAATATATCACTAATTCTAAACTAAAAAGTTCAAAAAGGTGAGAGAATATAGCTAATTACTACATGACTTTTGCGGGAGATATAGCTTTCAATGAAGCTGAACAAGTAACAAAAATACAAAAATTAGAAGAACAAGTTGCAAAGAAATTGGCTAGAGGGCAAAAAAAGGTTGCTACTGCTACTCAAAAAGCAGAAAGAATCAATTAGAAGATTTCATTTACTTGAAATTTTAAGAAGCACTTTGATACCTGATGATCGTCTTTGTTTTCTTAAGAAAGTCATTGGGTGAGTAGCTTAGATAATTAATGGCTTGCATGTGAGTGTTCTAATTGTGCATGACTTGTATGTGTTGTTGATTATTATCCCACTATGGAACTTATTTTTAATGAATGTGAATAAAATTATGTATTTTATTTTTTAATTAAAACATTTCCATTTCTTTATTAGAATAACTTAATTAGTTTACTGAAGTTATTACTTGTGTGTTTTTTTATATTTTATATGAATCCGAAATTAAGGAAATAGACCCTAATTCCAGATAAAAACAGTTGCTTTTTAAAAATTAAGTAATATGAAAATTAAAATTAGAAAAGTGTTTTTATATCATTTGATTTATCTTTTATGACGTTTTTTTTATTTAAAAAAATTATTCCAATGTTTATTCAGGCAACCCTCTTTAGTAAGTCCGTAAAAAAAGAGTCTTGACCACGAGATGACTAATAGCAAAAGAAAAAACTACTACAGCATAGTTCTTCTATATCACATAAAATCCGTTTGCCAATCAGTGAATGATTGGAAGATGCACTAAATAGTTTAAATGATCAGATAAAAAAAATTCTAGGCCTAAACACTCGGCAAATATATCGAAGTTTAACGCTGTGGTGTATCAAATGCTCTACCTTCCAGAATAGTTCAATGATATATTTAAAATATATTAAAATTTTAACTTAAATTATTTTTTACACATGTTGTCAAAAATAACGGGTGCATAAACGTGTATGAGCGGATTGTACGAGACAAAGCATACAATACGCGCATGAAAATATTTTTTCAAATAAGCTTGAATTCTTTGACTCAAATAAACATTATTTCAACATATAGCTTGTTTATTTACAATGTTTTTAAAATTTGTTGAGTTTTTGCCAATTCTGAGGCAGTGTGTGACGCATTTTTATTTATTCTGAGGCAGTGTGTGACGCATTTTTATTTATTCTGAGGCAGTGTGTGACGCATTTTTATTTATTCTGAGGCAGTGTGTGACGCATTTTTATTTATTCTGAGGCAGTGTGCGACGCATTTTTATTTATTATGGTTTTAATGTTACAGATATAAACGTAATAAACGCATTTAGAGTTGCTTTTTTTTTCACTTATATCTAGTTTTTATTTTACTGTAAGTGTCCAATCAAATAATTTTCCAAACGTTATGTTGAAACTTTTTAATGTACTTTTTTTTATTGAGTTAGAAAAAAGTGTTTAAAGTGTTATTAAAATATCCAATTAGTAAAAAAAACTGATTGATAAGATTAGTTAGAATAAAATTTCGACTTATTACAAAATAAATTTTGTTTCATTTTTTATTTAATTCATGCCAATCGATGATGTCAGCGTAAATACTTGAACTGTTTTTTGTGTTCTTGAGGTTTTTGCAGAAATTTTTTGCGACTGACAAAATAGGATCTGATCCGTTCCATTAGCTCAAGCAGTTTTGTTGACGTTCTGTTACTTAAATTGTTCTTAATATATACAGTGACGCTCAAAATTCAGTTGACATTTAAAAAAAGTGAATATTTAGGCATTATTTTATGAATAAGAAGATATTTATGGGTAGAAAGTATTTAGTTTAATAGAAAACAAAAAGAATGTTTGAAATAAAAATAGAACAGCAGTCGATTAACGTTAGAATGATAAAAAAATTAGGTGCTGCTCAAAAGTTTGTTGACAGCAACAAGAACACAAGTTTAAACAAAATGGTTTTGTTATTTTGATGCAAACGCAATCCTTTTAATATTTTGTTGGTCCGCCTTTATCATCGATAACTGCTTGCAAGCGTTTTGGTATCGAAAGTACTAATTTCTGAATGAAATTAATGTCAATTTCTTCCCAATGACATTTGATTGTTGTAAACATGTCATTTTTTGACTTTCTTTCGTTTTGTGGAATAGTTCTATCCAAGTATTCCCATATATTTTTGATTATATTTAAATCTGGCGATTGAGCAGGCCAATCGAATTTAAAAATTTCATGATTAGCAAGCCAATCTTTGACGATCTTTGCTGAACTTTTTGGATCATTATCCTCCTGCAAGATAAAATTGTCCTCGATCCCTAATTTTGCTGCAGAAGCAAATAAGTTTCGCTTGTACAATGTTGAGATAAACTTCTTTGGTCATTTTACCATTGATCAACTCGATAATACCAGGGCCGTTCCATGAAATAGAACCCCACAGCATCATCGTCATTCTTTTTTCTGAAGACCGTTCTTCTTCTTTTTGTCGATTGGAGTTCAAACTTGCATTCGTCTGTCCAAATTACAGACTTCTAGAGTGGCAACTTTATATGCATTTTAGCAAACGCCAGTCTCTTCCTTCGATTATTTATAGAGATGAATGGTTTTTTTCGCATCGCTCTACCGTATAATCCGACATCATTGAGACTTTTTATAATTGTTTGATGACTAATTTCCAAATTTAATTTGTTTTTATATTATATTGAACTCATGTTTGGCGTTTCAACCGATGTTCTAACAATCAGCCTATCATCTCTTGCAGTTGTCTTCCTTGGTCAACCTGATCTAATTGAATTTTCTGCCGTTTTTCGTTGGTTTTTTCGCTTAACAATCATTCTTACACCTTCCGCACTCAATCTAAACATCTTTGCTACCTCTCTCAATGACTTTCCTTCCACCTTAATTAAACGATAAATTTCAATCCTGGTATCAGTCGAAGTTTCACGGCGAGCCATCTCAAAAAAGTTCATTTTGTCAATATGTTGTTCAAAACAAATAGTGACATTTAAAATGCTTATTTAAAAAATATTTAACTTAATCCATTATTCTGCATATTTCATTAACTTACCGATGATTATATTTAAAAAAAACACTTGTCAAGAGACTTTTGGATTTAGCCAAATTTATAAATCGTGATATATTAACTTATCTATTTATATTTTTGTAATACTTTTAAAAAGTAATCTCGAAGGGAATTTTATATTTTGCTTTTCTTTTTGGTTTTTCATCGCGATACTGCAGTTTTTCACAAAATATTCGCCTGTCAACTCACTTTTGAGCGTCACTGTATGTAACTTGAGAAAATAACGCGTTCAACTAAAGCATTTGAGATAAAAAGGATAAGACAATTAAGGCAATAATTGACCAACTCATAAAAGGCTGCATCTCCATATTTGGAGATTATTATAAACGAATTTTTCAAGATTACTATCAACGAACTTACTGCTAGTTTTAACTAACAACTTATTTTATTCCCTTACTCGCAAAACTTAGTAAAATAAAACAGTTGGGTTGTTGTTTCGGTCAAAAATTAAGAAGCACGTTTTTTTTTTTTTAAATTACGTTCACTATTAAGATAAAATTTTGAAAACATTTTATTCCTATGTTAATATACTCTATTTTTAACACAACTAGACTATCAACCTACTATTATTATATATATTATGTGTCATACGCAACTGATTATGAGATTTTAAGTTTTAGTACTTCAGGCATAATGATGCAACCTTTGTGATATTTGTCGCAGCGATTTTGGCGCTAGTCAAGGTAATAAACGCGATCAATAACATAATATTTTTATATACCATAATAGTAAGTTAGTAAAACTTCCTTCTTAAATAAATACCCACATATCAAACAGTTTTTAACAAACCAGTCCGCGGGTTTAATTTAATCATTTATTATACGTATATAAAATTTTAAATGGTATGAATAATAAATTTATAAAAACCTTTCATATGAAAATCATTCAAACAAATTTTACAAATCACAATTATAAAATTAGAAGAATGATAATTATTAATAACATTGAATCGGCACAATATTTTCGATGATTCGGCACAATATTCTCGATGATTCGGCACAATATTCTCGATGATTTGGCACAATACTCTCGATGATTCGGCACAATATTCTTGATAATTCGGCACAATATTCTCGATGATTCGGCACAATATTCTATATTTACAATCACTAAAATTTAGACTTGAAATATCTCACAGAGATTTATATTTGATAAAAAGCTAAATATAGGCTTTAATGTATTTGATAATATTGCCTCGACATAAAGGACATTTGTCATCTATTTGTGTCACACAACTATCGCATACACAAGAATGACCACAAGGATCAAACACAATCCTGGTAGTTAGAATGCTGTAACAGATGCAACATTCCTGAAGATAATGAGAATTTTATTAAAACCCATCATAAAAACATTTATTGATACCTAGAAAAATAAAAAAATTAAAAATGGTAAAAAAAACCTTCTCAACCTCATTTTTATTTCCGTCAACGTTATTAAAATTTTTTCGTTGTTCGTAATAAGTGATAACAAGCGTTTCCTTTGAAGAGAGTTGAACACCGTTCATTGAGCTAAATGTTAAACCAGAGAAATAAATATTACAAAAAAAGTCTTGCATTGGTCCCCAGGTGTAAGAAATTAAAACCTGCTAACAAGTAAAAACAAAGAATAAAAAATAAAAAAGCATATGAAAATGTTTTAAAAAAACAAAAACAAACAAAAAAATAAATCTCTACTTAAAGTTACTCTTTAAATTAAAATTTAAAAAATATTAATAACAAAAAGATATTTACTACATCTTTAGGAATTCAAATTCTGGCATTATTTAAATAAGAGGCAGGGTTACATGATACATCTTTAACTTTTTAAAAGAACTGTTTTCTAAAATACTTTTAAAATGCATAACTTATTTTACTCATAAACAAATGACGATATGGTCTTATAGCACTTTTTAAAAGTTTTATTTGAATGTTTAATAGTTTTATTGTAATAGTAATATTTTACTAAGCAAACTTTATTGTATTAATGATGCATTAGTATTAATATATTAGTAATTTAACTTCATTGTATTATTATTACTTATTTTTTTGTTTATCAAACTCACCTCCCCGAAAGCACAAGAGTCTACATTACAGTCGCGAAAGCAAATATAATTTTAAATTTTTTTGTTATATAAACTTAATTAAGTTGTATTAATTATCGCTATTAATAATAAATTACTTAATAAACTACTTAAAAAAATATATTTTTTTAATATAAAATATCAAAACACCTATATTCGTACCTGATTGCTTTGCTGGCTTCTTCATTCGTTTCATAACATACATATCCATATCCTTTACTTTTACCATTGTTATATGTCATAACTTTTGCTGATTTAATTTTTCCAAAACATGAAAAGAGCCGATATAATCCATTATCGTCCACATCATCATCTAAATTTTCTATACGCAAATTACAATTTTTTAAGTCATTTTTGACACTGTCTTTTGTTGATCTAGGAGTTATAGTTGAACTTTGAGCTGATCTAGTTGACAAATCAAGTAAAGATGCTGATTTTATTGATGAGCTGGCCTAAAAAATTTGATAAAATAAAATGTAAAATTATAATAGGAGATTACCAAAAATGTATATAACTTTTAGCAAATAAGACAAATACAGATTTCTGCATGGCCAGTAAAATAAATATTAACAGATAAATGTTTCTAGTAAAATTATATCCACCGGTCAGAAAATATCTGTTATTTTTACTTGTCTTGTAACTTTATATAAATAAACATTTTCAAAAAAAAAATCTATGTTAAAGTAATGTATGGTTGAATAACATACCTCAAATTTTGGCAGAGAACACAAATTGATGATTGGCAAATTTGGCAGAGAACACAAATTGATTAAAAAGATAAAAAAAATCTTTTTCTATAAGAATGAAAAAAAAAAATGCAATTCTTATAGCTGTTTTTGGTAACTATAGCAACTCTTTTGGTTACCTCTTAATAAGGGTACAGCTAAAACCCAATTTAATGGTTTCTCAAAACTGCTGATATTAAGATTTTTCTAATTCTTAAAAGAATAATTTCATTAAAAGTTGTAAAATATCAGATTATTAAACGTGTATTGCTTAAGGTTTGTGACCCTGTTAGTTCTTTAAACTTCTTACAGATTAGCCAAATTGTTTGTTACTAAGGGTGATAAGTAAACTGTTTGTTACTAAGGGTGACAAGTAAATTGCTTAGATATTATAGTTATTTAAGTTTTCTAAATAATAATTTAATAAATACAGTATCAAAAACTCACAGCATCAAAAAATAATAATAACAAAAATACCATATTGAACATAAAAAAACGTTTTCACCACTGAACTGTTTCAATCTATTTTTTTCAATTTTTTGTAATCTTCATAATAATTTTTCCTTAAATTTTACTACTTATAAAATTTACCATACCTACTTGCTTTTTTGTGTAATTTAAATTAGGCTGTTTTTTCTTCAGATCTCACTATTGATAGCCACATGATTGGTCAGGACATATACAAGCTGTGTTTAAAAAGTAAGGTGACTATATTTTTATAAAAAATATTTTATTCTAATATTCAAGTTATCCTCTTTAAAGTTATTCCTTTTCAGATAAAATACATTTATGCGACTACATTTTTTAATCGCAGAAGCAACTTTGATAAGTTGTTTTTATATATACTCAGCTAGTAATACAGTTATATTGGCTTTAATCGGTGAAAATCTCTATCTTTTCAAAGGTCTCTTCAGTTTTGATGACAGGAAAAAGTTAGCGGTCAATCATTAAAAGTCAAATCGTGTGAATATGGTGGATGAGATATGTGTTTGTGATACTGTTTTTAGTTAAATAATCTCTCGCAAACAATGATGAGTTGGAAGAAGCATTATAGTGATGCAAAAACCATAATTTTGTCCACAATTTGGTCTTTTATTTTGTATTGCTTTTCACAAACAGTAAGGTAATACTTCATATTGACTGTCAACCTTGTGATAAGAATACTAGATACACTATGTCATGGTAATAAAAGAATTTTTAGATTTTAATTCTCCTAAGTACAATTAAGTACAAGCAATTTTTTTTACTGCTTCAACTTTTTTTTTTATCTGTTTTTGACATGCATAGGGCATCAAGAGGAAGGTTATGCATTGGCATCTTCTCAGCCATCTTGAAAGTGCTTTAAAACGTTTAAAATTAAATTTATAACAAAAAAATCATGCATTTTTTTGGAATAAATTGTTAATCTTTTTATCAGTAAATAAAAGACTCATCTGTCGGTTTTTTATTTTTGCTGTAAAATCACTAGATTTTGAAAACCAAAAATTTTTTTTTAACAATATAATATTACAATAAAGTAAAACTGTTTTTATCCAAACCTTGGCAAAAATGGTAAAAAAAAATGGTAAAGCTGATCAACAACACAGTTCTCACTCTGACCTTGTCACTGGGTTTTAAAAACCTTTATCAAGTTATTTTTAAGTGGTTGTACAATTAAGTATACAATAATTAACAAAACCAAAATAAACTTTTTTTATTTGATAAAAATAGTTATCAAATAAGAAAAAATAAAAATTAGTTAAACCTTTATCCTTAACTCAGGAACTGACTCTTTCTTGCATTTAAAGAATTCAACACAAAGCGTTTTAGTCATGAACATGGTTCCATTCATTTTTCTAAAAAAAAATTATAAAAAAAAAGTAACCAAAAATGTATAAAATAATGTAAATTATAGTAGCCATTATTAAATTATAGTAGCCATATATGTAGCATATATGTATAACCATAAAAGTAGCGCATATGTATAAAATAATATGTCAAAATAGTTAGTGAATCTTCTGTTTTATTTCTTTTAAAATTAATTCCACATTAAAAAAAATTATTGCACACACTTTTTTTTTTTTTTAATTTTAGGTGACCCAAGTACTTACGGTCTTATCACAGAGCACTGGGGAAGAGCATTTGAAAGAAAGTTCATACCTCCTTCCTTACCGATGTTTAAAAATTGCCCAGAAAACTAAAAAATTGTCTCTAGTTTCTGAGGCAAGCACACTAACCACTGTGCTATGGCTGCTCCTATAGTTCTTTTGAGGCCTGGTCTAAAAGTCCAATTTTAATTTTAAAAATTATTACTCTAATTATTACTTAAATCTTTAATTAGCTATCTAAACTATAAACCATCATTCATTCTATTAAACAATTCATTTACTCTTAATTTTTAGAAAAAATTAGAAGGAAATCGTTCATATCTCTAAAGCATTTTTACTTCAAAAAATAACAAATAGATTCTCTGTTACTTGTATTATTATTTTATTTTACAAGAAAAATATTTCTTTAAATATTTTTTTCACTGTATCTTTATTTTTCTTTTTAACTTAAAATAAGTTTAATTAAAAAATTATTCTTAAATTTTTTTCAAATACAATACAGCCAAATTATTACCAAATTTACCAACATTATTACCAATATTATTACTAAATAGAAATACATATTTGACTCCAACCCTGCTTGGAAACATCTTGGATTTAAAACTTTCTTTTATAGTTATTTCAAATATTGTTTATAGATTTTTGTTTGTTAAAATTTAGGAAAAAAAAAAAAAAGCTTAAACCCTAAGCATTTAGTTTGCAGAAGTTTTGGCTTACTTGACTGTTATACATAGGTTTATTCAAAGAGTCCATTTATAATCTTTTTAATTAAGATTGGATTCTTTTGACTCATGCTTGATTCATGTTTATCAATAAAATAGACATTAAAACAGATTGAATGATGTGAATGAATATAATATTCTTATAATTTGAAATACAACACAAAATTATTCTATTCAAATATAATTTGGTATTTAAAAAATCTTTCCAAAATAAATTCTAGCTAAACTCCTTTTAAGTAATATTCATTAAATTTATTAATATTAAGATAATAATTTATTAATAATAAAAATTAAAATAATATTCATTGAATCATTTTAAAAATCTGATGCTAACAAATTTTTAGTGCTAAAAAATATACAAATATTAAACTTAAAAAAAAAAGTCAACCTAATTAAACAAACACTCTTTTATACATTATTTTTAACTCATAAATATAACATTCATATTTGTAACATTCACTTTTACCTTATTGCATCTGTTTATATACCTATTATATACCTTATTATATATACATATTATATACCTTATTGCATCTGTTGCTTCTTGTTCAGTAGAAAACTTAACAACACCAGATCCTTTACTTCTCCTATTTTTATCTCTCAATACGTAACAAGAAGTAATAGATCCAAACCGTGCAAACAAATGATTTAAATCGCTATCATTAACATCTTCATGTAAACATTTCACAAATATCTTTGAGCCTAAGGATTGTGTTTTTGAAGAACTCAATAATTGAGACTCCAAATTCAATTGGGAACCAAATGGATTCTAAATAAAATGGAAATATTAAACATAATGATACTTAGAATAAAATAAACTAATAATTAATACATTAAACATAATTAACTTCAGACATAATTTGCAGCATTACTAATATAAGTCTATTATTTCAAAATCCTATTTTCTTATTACTTTTTTTTATAATTTTTTTAAAAAAAAAATGAACTTAAATGCAATTTTAAAAAAGTTTTTAAAAATTTTTTTATTTTTGGTTTTAAAACAGGTGGTCACTAAAAATTTAAACTGACTTTTAAGGGCAAATATTCCAAGTTTTTAGCTAGAGATTAAGTAAAAATACCATTATATATAGTTTTTAGAACTTTATTGGTTTCAATTAGATTTGTCTTTAATAAGTCCGTTTCTGCAAATTCAATCAACTCTAAGACAAGTTAACCCAAAATAAAAAAATTGACCCAAAAAGACAAATTGACTCAAATATTGAAAACACTAGGTTAAGGTCCCTTTTTTTCAAAGAAAGTTTTATTGTGGATTGCTTGTCAATTACCTTCATATAATTTTTTTTTAAATAGCCTAACATTTTTTCATTGAGTGATACTTAGGGGATTTTCAACTATTTTTAACATGATATCATGGTTTTTTTTACCAGTTGGTCATAAGCTTTAAGGCTCCACTAAGCAAAAACTGTTGCAACGAACAATATTTTTCACTGCTCCACATGCGCAGATAAATCAACAATACAGGGATAACAATTTGGTTACAAAAAAAAAACGCTACGCAAATAGTTGACAGTTTATTAACTTTTTGTTCCTCAACTATTTATTGCTTTAAAACAAACCAATCACATTACTAAATAAAAAATAAAAATAAAGATGAATACATCTGGCATAGAATTGATAGAAAACAAGGATAATAAACTAAATAAAAATCAAACTGGAGGTGAATTTAATAAAGAAAGTTTTATAGAGGCTAATCGCAAGTTTCTGTGTCTCTGGAACACAAATGAAAAAGACTTCAAAAATAGAAATATGAAAGTAAATTTTTGGAAACAGCTTTCTATAATTTTTCAACAAGATGGTATAAAACTTTATTTTGCTATATTCAAATATATATATATATATATATATATATATATATATATATATATATATATATATATATATATATATATATATATATATATAAACAGATATATGTTGTGTTCATGTAATATGTAAGTTAAAATTTGAGGTAATCTTTAATTTTTAAGAGACTTAGTAAAAATAGATTTTTTAAGATTCTGGAATTTATACTTATATAATATATATATATATATATATATAATATATAATACTTATAAATATAGATTTATATAATAAAGGGGTGTATAAAAAAAAGTGTTATATGAATTTAAAAAAATAAATCTTTTTCACATTTGTTTATGTATAGAACCAATAAAAGGGTATTAAATGCAGTATTATTTTATATATTAGGTTTATTGATGTAAAATATATTTAAATGTATTAAATATAGTGCAAGTATAAAAACGAAAATAAAATATGAAGAAATCATAAAGTATTATTTTTATCATACAAAAGATATATATATATAGTTATAAATTATTTATAAATATTCATTTTAAATAAATTAGCCCAAAATGTCTTCGATTTCAAAATTGAACGCAGTTTCTTTGCTTTCACAGGGAAATATGCACTACTTTAAACAAGTATGACAAACTAGTTTATCTATCAATTAAACAAAATGTGACACAAACTTTATTTTCTAAGCAAAATGTACAAAAAATAAATTGAATTTATTAACTAACAGTTCTTATTGTATAAATTATATATATATATATATATATATATGTATATATATATATATATATATATATATATATATATATATATATATATATATATATATATTATATATATTATATATATTATATATATTAATATATATATATATATATATATATATATATATATATATATATATATATATATATATATATATATATATATGCTTATAAGTCCATAGTTTCTAAAAGGTTTGTCATACATGATTTATATGGGACAAAAGCATGTTGTTCCCTACAGAAAAGGTTGTTTTTTGTGAAGTAGTTGTTAAGTTCATTCCTTACTATTTTCTCCATATTCTTGCATGGGACCGAAGTCAAGCTGATTGGTCTATAGTTTCGGGGATCTGTTGGCCTTCCTTTTTTAAACATTGGCGTTACGTTTGCGTCTAGCAATGCTGTTGGTATTTCTCCTGAACACAATGATAAATTAAATATGATCGAGGGTGGCTCGGCGAATTCGGTGGCAAGTACTTTTAGAATGAATGGGTGAACGTTATCAGCTCCTTGTGATTTGTTTCCATCAATTTGAAGTAATAAACTTTCTTTCTTACAAACTTTGTCCTCCATGATGTTTATTTCATTTATCCTCTTATTTGTTCTATGGTCGAGTGTGTTAATTTGTACGCCGTATCTTTTACTAAAAAAGGACTCGAATTGGTGATTTAACATATGTCCTTTTTACTATTTTTTAGTTCACCGCTGTCAGATTTGAGAGGTTGTATTGAAGTAGATATTTTTAATTTGCTGTTTATATATGAAAAGAGTTTTTTGGGATTTTTTTTGTCGTTTGCTAAATTGAACTCATAGTTTTTTTTTGCTTTTTTGGATGCTTTTCTTATATCTCTACTTGCATTGCGGTATTTCTTTACAAGTTCAGTTTTTTTCCACTTTGAGGCTACATTTTGCTTCCACAGCGTTGTCTTAAGTTGAGAATTTTTTTAAGTTATTGGTCACCCATGGTGCTTCTTTAGTTGTTAAATTTATTCTTTTTTTTGGAATGAAATTTTCAAATAGATCATGTATAAGTTAAGTAATTTATAATAGCTTACATTAGCAGTTAAGTTATCTAGGAAGTTATCGCACTTAATTTTTTCTAGTTCTTTTTTTATTGATTTGTAGTCACCTTTGTATTAATTGAATTCTTGCTTGAAAAGGTGTGGCCGGGTTTTTAGGCAACTAGAAAATTCCATTTGATTACTAGATGAGCTTGTTTAGATGTTCCAAGTGGCGAGTCTGATTGTAGATTTTTTATTCGATTTACATCGTCACATATCATATTGTCAAGAGTGCTTTTACATTGTCCATTTGCTTGTATTAATTTGGAAAGTCAACAAGTTGAGTGAAAGAGCTGTCATTGAGCATATCAATGAATTTTACAGATGGGTTATTTTCAGGGCCAGTTACACATACGGTACCATCATTAAACCATTTCACATTTGGAAAGTTAAAGTCACTGCAGATGAGTGTTGAGCTGAATTTTTTAGTGTCAACAAGTAACTTTACCTTGCTAATGCTTTTACTAATTGCAGTATTGGTTGACAGATCATTTGTATAGGAAGACGGTGGTCGATATAAACACCCTATTAGAATGTTTATGTTTAACGAATGCCAAATTTGCTTGCAGTTTGTGTCTGTTAATTCTTTATAATCAATTTCAACAGATGGTAAGTCTTTGCTAACATAAATTGCGACTCCACCATGATAACCCTCTCTATCTTTAGGAAACACATTGTAACTGTCCAAATGTAGGACTGATCGCCCTGTGAACCATGTTTCACTTACTAAAATTTTGTGGGGGTAGTTGACTAGACATATGCTGTGAGTTCGTTGAGTTTGTATGCATTTAGCAATGTTGCATTGGTGTATATACATCTTATATTTTTATCATTATTTATTGCCACTATCGAGTTATTAATTGGTTGCAAGTTTGTGGTGTCAAGTGGCAAACTTAGCTAATGGCGGTATTGGTTTTTTACTGCTGTGATCAAGTTGATATTTGATGATGAAGTTGCGGTATAAATTGGCAGGTCGAGATGTTGTTGTTGAGCATTGTTTGATAATATTACTATACTGTTAGATGACAACGAGTTTGTGGCGTCATGAGGCAAACCGAATTGGTGAAGGAATTCACTTTTTGTTGTTTTGATCAGCCTAATATTTGATGATGGAATTGTGGCATAATTTAGCAGGCTGAGATGATGATGTTGAGCATTGTTTGTTATTGTTACTAAGTTGTTGATTGGTGACTAGTTTCCCTCGAGTTGTTTTTCTTGTTTACATGTCAATGAGACTGCAACAATTTTTATTGCATGACTCTTTTGCTATAAATTTGATCGGTCTTTTGTGGCACCCACACGAGTACACCATTACGTATCCCCTAATAATAGCGCTTCCCATTTCTTTCTTTTTTGTATCTCAAAGTTTTTCCGTTTTCTTGTTCAATGTGAGTTAGTATGCTGTTATCTCTTTCAATTCTTAGTCTCTTTTCTATGTCTCGTTCTGTCTTTCTTTTATCTCTATCAATGTACACGTTGTCTCAGCCTTCCATTCTTCTTAGCTCGTTACTCTTCTTTAACAGTTCAATTTGGCTATTATGGTTATCGAGTACTACTATTGTTAGTGGAGGTTGTTTAGTTGCAATTATCGTGTTTGCAAATGTGTTGGTTGTATTTGTTGTTTCGTTTGACGAGTCTACTTGATGCTGTTTTTTTATTCTGCATACACTTTTGACAATTTTTTTTTTGAGTCCTAGGGCAACTATCAGTGATTCGATGCTTTCCTTATCTTGTTTTTTTCTTTCTTCTGGATTCTCTAAGTCACATTCATTGACTCCAGTTATAATTACGTTATGTTAAATTTTTTCTCTTTTGTTCAGTTCTCGAGTGACTTGAACAACAATGGCTTTATCTCTGTCTGCTATTTTTGTGCCCCCTCTTTTGATGTTTGCTAGGGTGATTGAGTTTATTACTTCGCTGCTTGTTGGTTCCACTTGTTTCAGGATGGTAATTTCTTTTTCATGATCAATTTCTTTTTGTTTTAGAGCTGTAAACGTCTCCTTGTTTATTGTTGCTTGGGCTTTCAGCGAGCTGATCTCTCCCCCAAGTTCAAGGACATGAGTGATCAGCTGCCTTATCCAGTCCAGCATATCAATTTGAAATTGAGTTTTTTGTCCTTGATAAGAATTTGA